GAGAGTAGGGATTATGTTAGGTTTATAATGCTGCTACATCACTTATAAAATGATGCCATTCTTGTTTTTTCATGTTCAAAACATGACATAAAAATGAATAAATTAAAACTCATAACACCGTTGTGAGTGGGTAATTACACAAATTCCAGTTTTACTTATGGGGAAAATGAAAAACAGAAAGGTTGTGTGAGGTTTGCCAAGTTATATCATAAATTCGTACATTAAAGGGCCAGAGGGAACCATTTTCATCATCTAGTCAGAATTCTGGTAGAACACAGGTCCCATAGGATTAATTCCTGTTTGAAGTAGAAAAAAACACCTTGTAGACAAACTTTCAGTCTTGATTTAACAATGATCAGTGATGGAGAATCCTACACAACACTGGATAAATTGTTCCAGTGGATAATTATCCTCTCTTTTAAAAAATGCATCTTATTTCCAGGCTGAAGAAGTCAGTGTCAGAACCAGGATTAAATTTCAGGCACCGATGACTCTCAGATCTGTGCTCTGACCAATAGACTACACAGCAAGACACGTTTCTGTGATTAGTTGGTTATTTTCTGCCAACAATCCACTCAATACTATCTACTCTCTCCTCAGTTCTTGGTTCCAGATCTGATGCAGTTAGGGAGACTTTCCTTTAAGGGGATAGAACAGAGAGGGTAATGACCCTGTTCAGCATGTTTACTCTGAGTTGGCTCACATGTTCTAGGCAAAACAGAGGGTTCCCTAATGAAAACATGGGCTTCATGAGTTCTAGAGTACAAACTCTTATGTGTCTCCTTTCAGGTTCAGACTGCCCCCAGAGCAGTGTAGATAACTTTTTACTCCAACTTCAGCTATATAAAAACAACAACAACAATAATGCTATCGAGAGGGCTCTGCAGATTTTCTTCTAGTAGAGCAACACATTCACTGTCACTGATTTATACACAATAGTAACCTGGAGATTCCTTTGCTGGACACTGTGTCAGAGGTCACCAATCATAATAGCACTATGTGCAGCAGGGCATGCACCTGGGAAAAGCCAGTCCCAAATCCCTCTTCACCACTTTAAAACACTTTTTTAATGTGATTTGTTATGTCGTGGGGAGTTTCAGAGTATAGGAAGAAATCAGTGGAAAGGCAGAGAGCTGGAGTAGGTGCAAGTGTCCATTTTATTGCATAGCACAGAACTCACCAGAACAAGCCCAGACTAGCTGGGCTGACCCCAGTGACCTACTCAGTTACCATAACAACAAGATCTATATCTACAACCCAATATACAACAGAAATGCAACAGTAGAGTTGCTTTAGCACTTCAGTGTAGACACTACATGCTGATGAGAGAATCCCTCCCCAATTGTGGTAGATTATTTACCTCTCCAAGAGGCAGCAGCTAGGTCAAAGGAAGAATGCTTCCCTAGACTAGAGCTGTCTACATGAGGAGTTGGTTTAATTAACATTGCTCAGGGGTGTGGATTTTTCACTTAGCTGCATATGGTCTGGATTCTGCTCCCAGTGTAGACAGATCTTGTGCCTTACTTTCGATAAGACCCCCTATTTAAGCAAAGCCTTGTTAAGTCCTTGTCTAGTTTCAATGCTGGATGTTAGCAATTAAAACTTTGAATGTGGTTCACTGGACAAGTAACTGATCTACATGCCGCCGCCAGATGAGATCTTTCGCAGTCCGGACAGTATAGGAAACAGGTCCTGTTTGAGCAATAATAGTGGCAGGGACCCATGTAGCTCCAGGAGCATAGTTCCGAACCAAAACTATCTGTCCAGGACTAAAGGTTCGGTCTTTTGCTCTGCATGCCTGATGACTTGACCTTGCTGTTGACGTTGCACAATTTGTCGTGGTTCTGAAGGTTTCAGCAAATCAAAGCACGTGCGTAGCTGACGTCCCATCATTAGAAAAGCCGGGGACACTTTGGTTGTAGCATGAGGAGTGTTTCTGTAGGATAGTAAGAAGGTGTCCAGACTCTTTTGTACATGTGAATGTTCTCTAACCGATTTCAAAGCTTGTTTCATTGTCTGGACAAACCTTTCAGCCAATCCATTTGTGGCTGGATGATACGGTGCTGAAGTGATGTGATGGATCCCGTTTGCTTTCATAAAATTTCCAAACTCCTGAGACACAACAGACTGTTGTCACTCACAAGTTGTTCAGGAATACCCAAATGACAGAAGATTCCCCATAATTTTTGGATAGTACTCTCAGCAGTAGTGGAAGGCATTATACAGACTTCTGGCCATTTAGAATGAGCACCTACCACCACCAAAAACATGTTACCTTCAAATGGGCCAGCAAAATCAACATGAATACGTTGCCATGGTTTTTCAGGCTACCATAACAACAAGATCTATATCTACAACCCAATATACAACATGATTCTGTCTCATGTTTGCATGCAATTGAATAGAAATAGAGACAACTCTTTGGGAGAACAATTGATACTGATGGATGAATTGTGGAACTAGTTGGGAGGAAGAGAAGGGAGTGTTGGTGATGCTGGGTTAGAGAGATGCCAAGTCCCATATCCACTCACTCTATGCTGTCCCAGAGCCATCCCTGATAAGAGTAAAAGTGTTAATCATCATTTTTCCACTATCAAACATGTGTGATGGATTCTGCTTTCCCTTGCAATGATGCCAATAAGGATTAACTCCAGTGATGTCAAAGGAGTTACAAGAACATAAAACTAGTATGAGATCAAGGTCAGTCCAAAGGGTTCAATGCTCTACGCCCAATGTTACTAGTGAGGTGTGATGCTAGAATATTCACAAGGACTTATTATTATCAGGGGAACTCCCGTTGAATTAGTTCAGTGAGGTTTTTGCCTGAGTAAGAATTGCAGGATTTAGTCCCATAGAAACAAAAGTATCACAAAAGATTCTTATTTCTATGGCAATCAAGGGTAAGCAGTAGCAGTGTTTTTACTGTTTGATAGTAGAGTATTTGCATTACTAGCCATTACATAACAGTTGAAAAACAGTTTTTTTCCTGTCTGGACACATTGTGCTTGTGGTTCAAGAACACATTAGTAGAGGTTCAAGAACACAAGGTGACAGGCTTTCAAACAGAATCATGACATTATAACAACTGTCTCTTCTGTGCCATAGATTTCACACTGGGTTCCAGTGCCTTCATAAATTGTTGATGGATGTGCTGTGGTAGAAGCATTATGTCTTTAATTCCTTTTGTGATGGAGCACTGGCTAAATTTGTGTCCATGTTAAAGGTGCTTATGAATATAATTATGCTTTACCTACATTGAGATAAGTGAAAGGAGAATCAGACACCATGCATTTAAAAATATTTTCCTTCTTCACTACTTGCCAGTTACGCAGCTCATAATTAGTATTTCCTTCCATAACAGATGAACTTTCAAGCACCACCTAATCCAGAGCAGAGAGTATCAGTTAATACACTGTTCAACTGCTTTAGGGCAAACTTCTCCCACCTTGACTAACGCAATGCCCTTTTCAATGGTGTCTTTACATTTCATTTTTTTCTTTCTATCTAATGTTCTTATATGTAATTCACTACTATGGTATACAATGAAGCTTTTCTTCATCGCCCTCAGGCAAAAAAAACCCCCTCTACTGACCCTTGAGTCATAAAATAAAATACCTACATGTACATATGATTAACTGCAACACATGAAGAGGGTGAAACTGGAACCACAATGATAGTTTATAAGAAGAGCAAGCTAAGAAGAGGTAACCAAGTCTCATTATAGAAGTTTGTGATATGGCTAAACGAGGAGTGGAAAACTAGTAAAGCAAGCCAAGATAATAATAATAATAATAATAAAAAGGTAGGGAAAGAAAGCAAAACAGGACTCCCCACTCAGGATCTCTGTTTTCTAGTAACAACTCATCCACTGGTCACAGAAAATCAGATAACTATCAAAATGCAGCACAGACATATTCCCTATCTCTGGATTGTTTGGCATAGGCACAACACTTTGGGTTCAGAGGACAACAGTTTCCCATACAGGGTCTTCCTTGCTTCTCCTAGACCAGATGCTTTTATGCTCTTTCCTTGGAGTACCTGTGTGAACCTCAGTTGCCAGAGACATGTCACAGCCCTCACATTCTGTCACGGGCACATAAAAAGTTGGGAATACTACATCATAAAGTTTCTAGTCAGACTGAGAAATTCATGCCCACAATAGGGATGGACTGCTTTAACCTGCATTTACCCACACCTTTCAGATAGTTGTGTTTCCTGCTATAGTCCTGTAAATTAACTTTGGCTTTAGCTAAATTTAAATATGATTATGTTTAAACTGTTATAAATTAGATTATCTGCCCCTCGTTTCCCATATAGATTTCCATTATAATCAATTTAGGCAAAATTGATCCCTGGCTTAATCTCCCTAAAACTCTTCTAGTATGTAAAGGATCTGAGTTGGCATAGTTTACAAGATGTTGGATTGGAGGTGGGGAGGAAAAAGATGATGTAAAACATATCAGTTTAGACTGCTAAGACTCATTTTTATGTTCCCCTGAATTTATCTCATTTTCTTGCAAAGCCCATTTATAGTGGAGAATGGAATTCAGCTGGTGTTAACAGGAATAAAGGAAATGTAAAAATATTGAATGACTGTTCTAGAGTTGAACTGTATTTAATGTACAGTCAGCTGTAATTAGATCTTGTCTTCCACAATTTTATTTTTCATGGTATTTGCCAGAAAAAAACTCCAGATTCTTGATGCAAGTGTGTGTGCATGCACAAGTGTGTTTCATATTCCCTTTGCTCAAACAGGGATGGATAAATTGCATTCCAAATAGGCAATTAGGCATTGGTGTAACACAGAGTGCAAATGTAAGGTTATCACCTCAGTTGGCCCCAGGGAAATACCACCAGTTCCTCCACTCTGTACCATTATAGAAGGGCTCTGAAACTACTTTGGAGACAGAGAAGGTCGGCTTGCCAGGCTGCTAAAGTCTCTCTATGTGTCACTATTAGAAGCTCTCTTTTACATAGAATTTTTATTTATTTATTGGTAGGAGTCAAGGTTCATGTGCTTTTGGAGCCTCAGAAGAATGTTCTTCATTTGCAAACCAGTGGATTTTCATTGGCACTGAATCTGTCTCTTGATCACAATTCTGGTAACTATATTGCTTCTGATGTATTGTTACGGACTGGCACCATCTTCACAATTCTTATCTAAATTATAGGGGGAATAAAGTTGTAGACACATGACTTCTATTACTAATAGAAGCTAAATTCCTGTGCAACAGGAAATCTTGCTCCATGTTTTTATGTTTTTTTGTGAAGAATCATACATTTTTGAAAACTTATTAAGAAAAAATAAAGGTAAATAGATTCATAGTCCAGTAAAGATGAAGAAATGTTTTTGAGGTGCTTGCATTGGAGTTTATATTTCACCTTTCTGAATAGGAAAGATTTATTTTATTTGCTTCTTTAGAGTATATAGTGATTATAGTGTTGGGAAAAGGAGCCAGAATGACTGCCCTGGAAAAAATAAAACCTTTTATTTATCCATAGAGGAGGTAAATCCCACCACATTCACATCCTGGTCCACCATGTGTCTCAACTTTGACCCATTTTTAGGAATGAGTGCTGAGATTCACCTACTCATTTCATACAGGGCATTGAAATGCCATCAGATTGTAATGACATTAGGATAGTTAGTATTAAGTTGAACTGCATTGGAACCAATAAACCAAAGGTTAAAGGAACCTTAATCCTATTCTCAAACCATTTAGTCAGCTATTCCCTCACCATTTTATTATTCTAATGTCACGGCTACATTCTATGCTTTTATCAGATCAAAAGCTCCATTCCAGACATTTATAAAATGAATCTAAAAATGAATCAAGAATTAATTATTCTTATTACTACACTATGAGAATGCCCTATATTTTTTGACAAAACCCCCCCAAAATTTGAGTTTTGACAAACCAGTGTTTTTCAAAGGGCAAATTTCTGATCAGTGGCAGTATTGAGCACCCAAAATTCCAGTAGAAGTTATTGGAATCTTTGAGTTCTCAGCACCTCTAAAAATATGAGCCTCGTTTTGCTGTCTCAATTTGCCTATACCCAAAAGACAATGATAACACTTCACTGGCTAATAAGATTTTCGATGACTAGTTAGTGATAACATGCTTTATGGTATAAAATGCTACATAAATCTCAGTCTTGTTATAATATATATGTTTTTGAACAGCTGAGAGCCTAAAAAGCCTTCTGACCTCACTCAAGGTCTGATTGCTGTAGCTCTAATTTTCATTAGTTTTGGCATTCATCCTGTTTTTCTAACACAGTCACAATTTCTAAATGGCAGAAATAATGATTTGGCATTTAGAAAGTGCTAAGGCATTAGCATTGTTATAATTATAAGACTGAAAACTAGGAACTTTATTAAAATCTTCAGACACCTTCCTTTGGGATACAGGCTCATTGTTACTTGCCTCTGTTATTAGAACTAAGGATTTTGCTTTTCCCATCTGCAGAATTCTACTCTTGGTATCGATACAGTGATTAGAGGGGGAGGGGGTTGTCCTAAGCCTTATATTTAGGTTGTCTAACAATTTCCATGATAAAAAAAAATATTGTGACCTTTTCTTTCAGAAGCTCTCTCACCTCAATTTTTTTAGAAGGCCTTGATATTTAGTAGGGAAGAGAGCCCTATCCAAAGTGCCTTTTCTGTGTTCCATGAAATTCCTCTCAGATTTAGTTGAGTTGTAAAATATTCAAATTACCATTCCCCTTCTCTCACTTGTGTTCCCCAAGAAAAATGTGACTTGGAATATGACCCAACTTCCCACCCTTCCTTTCCTTTGCCACGAGGACTCAAGTGGTGCAAGAGCTCTTTCATCTCCAGAGTTGGGGAAAGAGAGCTGAACCAGGCTCACCACAAAATGGCCAGGGAGCATCAGATGGGAGTAAACCCTCCACCACTTGGAGTGAGGAAAGAGAAAGCCAGGTCAGGATTCTGCTGACCACCCTTGTTCAGTGCACAGACTGGACACAAAAAACTGCATGGGCAACCAACCACATTTCCCAATTTTTGAGTGCTTAACTTTACAACGTAAATAATGTACTTTTCACAGGTTTTTGTATGGAATTGAATAGGTATAATAGAGGAACAAGGTCAGGCTCTCTTTTATAATCTGTGCTTACTCTGGTAGCACAAATAGGCTGAAAATCAGTTGGCTCTTCTAAACTGATAATTTCTCCATCACCACACAATAGTGGAACATGCTGAGGATCACTGAGGGCAGCTGGGCCACAGGGCTACCGTGCTTCAGCTAATCTCCGGTGGTAGATGGACACTTGGAGGTTGTTACCAGTTGTCTCGGATGATATATGGCCACTTGAAGTCAGTGGTTCCAAACTGTGCTTGAACTTTCACTGCCTTTAAAAAAATGGTGCAGGGGAATCGATAGCACCAGCATGAGAATCAGGAGGCTGAAACCAGCTCCTGTGTGGATTCCTAGTACTCCAAGGGAAGACTAAGCACTAAATCTGAGCCATCACCCTTGAAGCTCATGACAGCTGTAAAGCCTTCCTAAACTGGTCTTCTCTCTTCCTTTCTTTGATATATTTCTTTTACTAGGCACATTTTCCCTTTTTCTGTTTTTTGTATTTTTGTGGTGGTCTGTTACTTTTTGTCATAGGGGGAAATCTATTTGCATGCATTTAATCTTTTACCATTTTGGCTATTTTAATTGTATACTCTTCCCCTTAGTTTTTTAGTCTTGTGAGGATCTTTCATTCCTTGGCTCCACAACTTCCCTCTCATACCCTTTTGCCAACATATTATCAATGACTGATGTTGCATAACTCTCATCATCACTCTCTTCAGCTTATTTCACTCTGGAGCCTGGGATGCTGAGAACACACATTAGAACATTTAAAAAGGAACATTTTAAACAAGCATTTGATTAAAATCAGTAGCAGGTCAAGAGATCCCATGCACATTCAGTTCCCGGCAGGTGGTTGTCTGCTGGAAATTATAGTTCAGAGTTAGTCTGAATTTAATGAACTGGCTTACTCACACACCTGGGTTTGGATAGGTTTTTTCTAATTTTTATTGTTGTCTTATTTTTCCTTTTCTTGTTTTCCTATTGAACTATAGTTTGTTTAGTTACACAATGCTCAAAAGATGGAAAGCCCTGTACAATTATCATTAAGGGCTAAGTATTGTTATTATCCGTGATAAGGAGAGTGTGGTTATCCTTACAGCCATTTATTTAGTCCAGAGTATCTGTTTTAGGGAGATGGGAGATCTTTTCTATGCTCTTAGCCTGCCATCTTAGAAAAATATCTACAGACTTAAGAAAACAGTTCACAAGCCTAAGGGGAGCTTAGTGAAAGCTAATGGAGTCTCTCAGTCTCTTTAATGTTCAAAAGAAGCAAAAGACTTAGAAGTGCTATTTTGAACCATTGTAAATCAAAGAAGTATCCCATTGCTAGGCACATAGAATGATTATTCTATCAGAGAAACAGAGTATCACTTTGATTTGTACCAGTCACAAGGAGGAAAAATAGTAGTGACCATTTCCCTTTGAAATAAGTAAGATTCTTTATATGAACTGTATTTGGCTTTCTGTAAAGGGATGGAAAGAGAAGAGCGGGGAACAGGTTGGGAAATGTGAGGGAAGGAAGAGGAGGGAATGTGAAAAAAAAGTCTGGGTTTCATTTGGGAGACACAGGAACACTGGGGACAAGGAATCATTCAGAGAGAGCATAATTTATTATGCCAACTCTGCCCACATATCTACACTGACAAATTCATCACTGGAGCAAACAACACAAGCCACAAAATCAAAGGGTCATTTGACTGCTTATGTAGTAATTTGATCTATGCCATCAAATGCCAACAGTGCCCCTCTACGATATATATTGGTCAAACTGGACGTTCTCTACGTGAAAGAATCAATGGACACAAGTCAGATATACGTAAAGAAAATACTCAGAAGCCAGTGGCAGAACATTTCTGTTTATCTAACCATAATCTCACAGATCTGAAGGTGGTGGTCTTGTCACAGGCCAGCGCCTCAAGCCAAATCCACAGGGAAAGCTTGGAAGTATAATACATATGCAAATTCAATTCAATTACTTATGGACTTAATCAAAATATGGGGTGGTAGTAGGGTTGCCAGATGTCCGGTATTGTCCCAGACAGTCCAGTATTTGCTTGCTTTGTCCGGTAAAAAAAATCAGAAAATACCGGACATGTGCAATGTCTGGTATTTTCTGTTTTTCCTGGCTGTGCACTGGACGGAAGCCTGGCAGGGGCAGGGGGAGCGGCTGAGAGTCCCAGCTGGGAGGCAGAGCTGCAATTGCTGCAAGGAGCCCTCAGTCGGTTGAGTGTGAGGAGTTGGGGAAGCCTCCTCCTCACTCGTGCGTCACCAGGAGCCTGCGCGGGACAGGCAGCAAGTGCCCAGGTCAGTCCCGCTCTCCGCCGGCCAATTTGCTCCCTCCCCATTCCCGG